TTTTTGATAAATTGCTAATGCTAATTAAAAAGTAACTGTGAAAATTAACTTAGTACAATGTACAGATTTTAGTGACGCTGATATTGGTTCAAAATTTTTTCTAATTAATAAATTAACTAGAAAAAAACACCATCTTTTTTAGCAGAATATGTAACCAGATTTGAAAAATTACAGACAGTAACGGGAGACTTGTTGTTGTTCGGTTATTAGTGATACACCGGAAAAAAAATTTCCTCCTAATAATATTCGAAAGTGATCATTTTGCTTCGTTGGTACTTGTCATTTTCATTCAGAAGTTACAAAGCTCGATTACACCGCGAGATCGCTTCTGGCAAACCCTGCGTTCCCACTGGTTTGTAAGTTGTAATCCATATTCAAGTAATAAAAAAACCACAAAGTTTAAATTAAACCAGACGTAAAGAAAGGAACTGCTGTTCGAGCATTTGTTGAACTTAAGATGACAGCGACCTCTTCTGACTGAAGAAGAAAATTCAAAACAAATTTGGTGAAAAGACTCAAAGAACGTATTCCTTAACAAACAAATTTATCCAAGCCATTAATATCAAAAATTAAGAATGAAAAGCCTGTAATGTAGAAGCTTCCTTTCTCAACAAATTATAAATAATTACATAATCTAGTGCTCTGAAACAACTTCGTTTTATTTATTATTTAGAAAAAAAAAAATGCACATTTAGCCGCGCATACAATAGAAAGAAAGCATAGAAAAAGAAAAACAGTTATCTAAGTATTGCTATAGTCTGAGCAGTATTTTTGAACTGTTGCATCCCCGAGAGTTGAGAGAGATGAAGAATGAACTTGAAATCCGACCGCAGCACAGAGCTTCCTGATTGGTACTTTGCAAAAAATTGAAACTTCAAACAATACTTCCAACAACACCTTTCAAAAATCTAGAAAGTTTGTTTTCCTTCTTAGTTAACTCACTTGAAAACTACACAGAATAATTTTTCTAGTGAGCCAAGAAAACTTTATAAAAACAAAAAAAAAATTGTCACTCATAGCGGTGGTAAATTTATCATACGAATAATTATCGTTTCGAACATCAAGGTAAGTGTGATTGAAAATCAGAAAAAATCAATTTCCTGCACTTCAACTGGTACTGAAAAGCAGATTTTAAAAGCGAGTAGTCTTTAAATTATGTTTGATAGCATACGCAGCCTAAAGTTCTCAGTCATGTTTTTTTATAAAAAAAAAATAAGTTGTTACTAATAAATTTAAAATGGAGCATTTACCAGTGCTGAAAATGCTGAAAATGAACTGACGCTGCACACCGTTAATTCGTTTAATCAGACTGTCAAAATACAAGTGAACTAAAAAGACAAGAGAAAATTAATGATAACAAATACACTACTTGAGAACGTTTCCAACAGTATGTAATTTTAAAAGAGTAAAAATAAAACACGAAAGCAAACGAAAGTGAACATTTGGCATAAGACAGTTCTAATAAAAAGACAAACCCGAATATAAACCGTTAACTCAAATTTGATTACCATCCAGCAGTCTATCATATTTTACAACCAGAAACCAATTAGTGCAGAAAAATACAAAAAAATTTTCTATCAGTTTTTTATAAAATTCTTCATTGTGGAAGATGCAAAACTAGCGGTTATCTTAACTATACAACCTATAATAATACACTATGCAGAAAAAGTTTAAGATAACAGATACTTTCTGAAAGTTCCAAATACATATTTACAGACTTTCAGGCGCTCACTCCTGTCTCTGCAGTAGGAAAGCTTCACCGGATGAAGAGCGGTTTGGCTGTGGTTATAATGCTTTTCCCATTCACCTCGCTCGTTAAACAGATAAATAGCCGAGTAGTCTGGATAGCTGGAAAGTTGAATAAACTGCATTACTTACTTTATCTTGAAAAAACTAAGCAGAAAATCTTCGTTGCTGTAGAACTTGATAGAAGATCTTTTAAAAATTCAGCTATTCTACGAGAGCATTTGCTAGACACTGTCTTTTTCAAAAATGGCAAAAAATAACTAAAATTCTTTTTTTCGTTTTTTGCCAACTGAAGGTGACAGTATAGAGAAAAATTAGCAAAGTGTCTAAACTAATTTTAGCAAACAAACGAATTCGCCAACTAACATAAGGATTATCTATCAAAGTATACATCCTGTAACAATAAACCTGAAAAACTTAAAGTTTGTAAAAGTGAAAGCTTTCAGTAGAACATGTCGCATCATTTTAAAGTTTTTAAAAACTAAAATCTCAAAGCAAAAAAAGAAACCGAAAAAAAAGTTAACAGAAATTTTAGCTTTTTTTCTCCAAATTTACTAATTTTAAAATGAGTACCTAATTGAGTGCCTTAATAGGCTACTTTCTTCACAAATTTTTGAACGAAGTTACGCTTTCAGATGTGTACATCATCAAAAACATATTATACGAAAAAACATTACTGCATATCCCGCAACAGTCTAAGCTACAGGTGTAAAGTCACAACCACTACAGTTTGCAGGCGAGGAAGAAACTTACAAGCCAATCGCAACACCAAGCTTGCTTAGAGCGACCTCGTGAAAAACTCGAGTTTCAAACATTACTTCCGACATCAATTTGAAAGATTCGAAAACATCGCCTTTATTCTAAAGCAACTCTCTCAAAAAGCTGCAGAGAATAGCTCTTCAACTGTGCCAAAAATATTTTCAGCAGGAATCATGATAAGAAAAAAGCTTAACGTAGTGCTTACAGGTAAGAAATAAAAATCGAACCAACCCCTTCCAAACTTTGATCGCAGATGTT